TATTTGCCTTTTTGGGTTTTTTTTTTTTTGGGGGGGGGGTTGTTTTTCCCCTCTTGTGCTGCTCCCTTGCTGTTTTCTCCATTACGAATAGCAGCAGAAAATGAACAGAGCTGGGGTCCGAGAGGGAAGATCAGATCCGCTTCAAATGGGAGGAGGGAGAGAGTGGAAACATAACTTCTCAACTTTCTTCCTAGTTTCCTCTGTAAAGGCCGGTAGCTGCTTGATGTGCAAGGCTCTGGCCCAGATGTTCCAGCAGCCCAGGAGGAGGCAGGTTTCAGCCCTGGAACAACCATCGGTTCAGTTGGTTCCAGCATGACAAGTGCCGTGTTGCTCTCATTAAGAGATTGGGTGCAAAGGTTTGACCAGCCAGCCCACTTTCAGGAACAAATTCGGAAACAAAAAGGAAGAGAACCGGTCCATTCCTTTTGAAGATAAAGGTGAGGTAGCACAAACGTCATCTGAAAGGCTGCGCGTCTATGTGTTGCCTGTGTTACTTTCACTGATCAAATAAATTGTGAAGGCGACGTGAAGACCTAACTGGCAAGGCATCTGGGCTCGGTCAGAAAGACTCTTCCTGTTCTCTGTTTTCTTAGAGCTAGAAGAAAATTCAGTAAGTTGCTGAGTTGAATGCTTCATCCTCCTACCTTCTTCACAAGCTTCTGGAGGTGACAGCTGTTTCCTCAGGGCCTGGTATTTTAGACATCTCCATGATTTATATATCTCTGCAAGCCTCGTGGGTGGAATTGGATGTCACAGACAAGCCGAAAATAACTCGTAGACTCTGATAGCTACTGGCCCATGTGGAAAAACTCAGAGATCAAATTGAATCACATTATATGTGCCTGGCAAATGCACTGGGATGTACAAATGGAGCAATGATGGGTTAAAATGAAGTTGAAACGTTACGTGGAGAGGGCTGGCAAGGACTCTGCAAGAACATTGTGCACAGCAAAACCACCCTGGCTTAGCCCTAATGGCTGTTTTGCTAAGATCTGCAGTAGCATATGGAGGAAAAGCTCTTCCTTAGAAAAATATGCAGTTCCCTGTATGATCATGGTGTACAGCTGGGCAGAATGCCTTTGGTCCCTACAGTGAGGAATTCTGTAAGATACAGAGCATCTGAAGAGATGGCATTGCAGAGCTGTGCTTGGGTGTGCCTGAAGTGTGGCCAAGGAGTTGGATCCTACTCCCAGGGTCCTTCTTGCTAGAAACAGTACTCAGTGGGGAAATAACATTGTGTGGCCTTGGAGTCTGAAGTTATTAATGCCTTGTCAGGTACTTTGGGGGTAATCTGGTGGAAGAGACAGACAACCAAGTATGCTACACCAACACACGCTTAGTCCTCCAAAAATACAAACAGGGAGATTCTGTTCTATTTATGGCATATAGGCAGGTACCATGCTGAAAGCAGACTCTCAGGGCTGAGGTGCAAGGGGTAATTCTCTGGTGAACTTCTCCAGAGCCAGCTTCTCTGCTGCACTCCATGTGTAGAGCCTTGGGAGTTTAACCCAGCTCTTCATTAAGGTTCCTGGTTTTCCCTATATGCAACCTGGCCTCCTTTGGATACACCTCAGAACCAGTGTTCGCTATGAGACGGTAATATTTTCCAAGGCTGGGCTATTCTTCCATGCCAGCCTCTAGAGGGTATCAAGAAGCAATGCAGAAAGGGCCTGGGCACACTCAGCCACACCCTATATCCAGCAGTAGGATGTTCACAGTCTGCCAATGTAAACTGCGTGAGCAGTGTGCCTCGATTCACAGCCAGATCTCCAGCGCAAGAGCAGTGGATGAAGAGTGGCAGAACTTTTAACTCTTTGTGAGGAGTTAAAAACAGAGTTTACCGTGGAGAATCAAAACTCCTGGAGGGTACTTCCAGATCTGGGGGGAGCATATCTTACAGGATTTCCTATCAGAGTTTCTGCCAGCACAGCCTCCACACATGACGTTTCTGCATTTAGGGCTTATTTTTTTCAGCAGTCGCCTTCAGGTGTTTGTTCCCAGTTAGCTGAGTGCCTCCCAAACACTGGCTTTAACCTCTCTGTTCTCTGCAGTCCCTTTTGAGCCCTAAGACCTGGTGACTAGGACCTCCTGAGGCCTAACCCAGTGCTTTCACCCAGGAACCGTTCAATCTGCCTCTTTAATTAATCAGATTATTTAGATAAGGCTTGTGCTCCTCTCCCTTTCTCTGAGGCCACATGACTTCCGCTCTTTCCGTGCATCTTCCAACCTTCCTGTCCGCCTGGTGTTGTTTGCTGTTCCCTTTCCTTCTTTTGAGTCTCTCTGTCACCAAGTGTTGCACAAAACGATACTTTCGGATGTACAGTGAAGTGTCATTGTGGGCATTAATCCTGCTCTTAGAGGTCCCTTTAGAAACCTGAAAGCGTTCTTAAAACACCCACAACGATTTTGGCCGAAAAGGTTTTCACTTTTAAGGTGATGAGCAAATATTTTGTCCAAAGAGCCAAAATACTTGCACTGATAATGGTGATGTGCCCCAAGGGAATTGTCATTTGCATATCTTACATTACTGGGCTTTCAGACTCACAGATACCTTGGTTCACACTATGTTTCCCATGTAGCATCGTGGTCATAGACTCGCAGCCCCACTCTTGCAGGAGGAAAATGTTGTATCTTTGGAAAACTTGGGTGTAATATGAAGTGGCATAGCCAGAAATAGAACCCAAGAGCAGTGAGCTTTGCTCACTGTTACCCAGCACATTTTGGACTTGTCTATCCAAAATTTAGGATTAGGTCAGTGGGATAAAGTGGTATAAAATTGCTGTTCTACCTAGTAAGATGTTACATCTGCCTTGCTCTCACAACGTCCTGATGTGGGTGGCCGCAGAAAAGAGCAGCAACTCCTCTGATCTTGAGCCCATTGCTGTAGTGGAAAAAATAACAGAAGTATCATGCAACTGTTAAAAAAAAGCTTCCTAATTCTCCTGTCACTAGGTGCAGTCCAGGAAACTTTGTGTTTATAAAGCGCTGTGTAAATTTGCAGCTCTCTATAAATGTATAATCAATAACAATGTTTACAGTAACAGTGCTTAGTCCAGTTCTGGTAAAAACTCAAGACTGCTCACTTCTTGATAAGATCACTTGCTTTACACAGGCACCTCCTCTCCATGTGAAAACAAAACATGAGGAGCAGAACAGAAGATACTTGTGTTCCCTGACAAGAAAAGAAACACAGAAACAAAATATGTTCCCTGCAGCAGGTGACAATGGCAGCAACGACCCAAGGGACTCTCTTAAAATCTTTCAAGCAGGCCTTAGCCCTTCCACTGAGTGCTGCAAACACACTTCCTGTTCTACGAAATGAAAATCTTAACAGCCATTTCCTTGTTGATGGCATCATGTCTTCATCTCTTCTCACAAGTACATGAGAAGGGGGAAATCCCAGCAACCTGATGAGGTGAGCAAAATTGTGTTTCTGGAGGACAGAGAGAGAAGCCAGGTGCTCTTGTGGCTGGCCCCTCTGAGCTCTGGTCTTCATCAGTAACGCCACCACAGAGCTGGTTTTAGTAGGGTGCAGCCTGGGCAATTTCTAGGGTTCACAGCAGGAGTTGCTGAGTAGGTGGATGGGACCCCACCTCCACCTCTCTCCAGGCTTCCCACAGCTCTAATGGCAGCTCTGCCAGCTCAGGCCTGCCCCGGTCACGTCCAAACAGGCAGGCAGAAGGGCCTTAGCTGGATTTTTGCCACCACTGGCAATAACTGAGTCTGTACCATTTTAAAGCAGCTTGTGTACTGCTAACGGTGGTATCTGATAGTCCTTCTGGCTGTAGCCCCTTCCCATAGGTGAATCCCTTAGTGGTGAAACTGCCTTACGCAGCTCAAGTTGGCTCTGCTCCTGTTTGACCAGGTCTCCTTTAATGCTAGTTTAGGGTTCCCAGATTGTTTATTGCCATTTCCCTTCTGGGCTTGGCTGGCCGCAGTCGTGACCTCTCCCAAGCGGTTTGCTGACAGAGGTGAGACGCTCTCCTGGCAGAGCCAAGGTGAGACCCCAGAAGGAATCTGTCCCTCCTTCCTTACCCACCTCTGTCAGTGAGCCAAACCTCATCTTGCTCTTTGGTAGGTTCACGGTCACCTTTGGGGTTTTTCTTTGCCATGCTTCTGCAGTAAATCAAGTCCATCTGTACCTCCATTCCCTTCTGTTATCTCCTTCCACAATCCCTGCTTGCTAACCTGTTCCTAGATCCAGTGACCTCCAGCACAGGAAGAATCCTCTTTAAGTGTCTATCCCAATGGGGGCACTCACACCATTAAATAATAATCATACGGTAATAATCACCGCAGGGCTGGCAGGGACTTCAGGAAGTTATCAAATCCATCACTCCCTGCGCCGAGGTAGAGTCACCCAGGAACGGTGCCTGACGTGTGTGTGAAATGCTTCTAATGATGGGCATGCCACAGCTTCCCCAGCAGCCCCCTGCAGCCCAGGAGACCTTCCTGGGAAGAAAGCACTTCCTTGAATGCAGCCCAAATTTTTTCTCCTGCAAATTAGGCCAATTGTTACTTGTCCTTCTCCTAGAGGATCTGGAGAACAATTGATCACTGTCTGCTTTATAGCAACCTTTTATATAATAACAAGACAGCTTTTAGAGTAACTAAAAAAGAGGCGTTTGCTCACTTGCAAAGTCAGGAAATTCCCTGCCAATGAACATTCTTTGTTAGGGATCCTTTGCCAGCATAGGCTGAGTGCTAAGCCCCACAATCTGCATTTTCCTTTTGAATGACTCCCACAAAATAAACCGAATATCACATCCAAGGAGATTTATTACATCCCTTCCAAGGGCGAAACATTCCTCAGCTACATTCCACTTCTGTCTTTTGTGCTTAGGAAAGGGGAAAAAAATCTCTGTGATGCCTCTGGATCCCACCCCTTGAGGGCTTCTGTCATTAATAAAGCCGAGCAGCTGGAGCCAGATTTGTCAGACCAGTTCTGAATGGCTGGCTCAATGCTGCTTGCAAGAGCAGCAGCATGAGAGCAGCATTAGGCAGACGGGGAGGAATACTGCCTCTGCCTCTGCTATAAGGTTAATAAATCATGGCACCATGTTTCCCCAGTAAAAACACCTTTTGTTGTTCTGAGCTACACCCTATCCCCTATGGCAGCAGCTGCCAGAGTGGATCTTCTCACTTCCTAGCTGCTCTGGCTTCTCCTGCCTCTGCATGATGCAAGAGTTTGCAATGATTTTTGGGAGCTCAGACGTGCTCTCGGGGACTCTGCTTGAAGCTGTTGCTGCCATTCATCTCTCTAGGCTTTGTAGCGAAGCTTTTATCCAGATGTGCAAAGGAGGATTTGTGTAGAGGCAGGGCAAGGTGGGTGGAATCTCTGTTGTATTATCTGAGCTTAATCAAGCTTTTCCCGAGGCAGTGACTAATTGATTGACCCCTGGACTGCAAAAGGGAGCAAATTTGCTAGAGCTCATTACAAGAACAGAGTTTGGAATTTGCATTTTTTCTTCAGAGATGCAAACCATTGAGTGGTGTCTTGCTTACTGATACCCAGTGAAACAAACACTACTCAGCAAATGCTCGTAGGTGGATTTGGCTTCTTAAATCCAAATGAGAGAAGCACTGGGTCATTGCAGGCCGGTTCATCATCATATCCTCTGCCACCATTTATAGGTATCACTCAGTTGTGGCTCTGAAATTACTATCTGGCCCAGCCTGGGCTGTGAAAGCCAGCCTGTAGTCCATGTAAGTGTGTGTCAAATCCATTTCAGTCTCACAGACTTCCAGAGCATTTCACAAAACTAACAAAAAAAAACAAAAAAACAATTCACCCACCATAAAATGCAGCCAGTGCAGATCTAGGAGAGACGAGCTCTGCAACAGCACAGGGCAACACTGCATCACAACTGTTTAGGGAGTGGAGAAGAGGAAAAGATGCTGTGTACAAGGGGAACTGTAGGAAGAATGAAAAGAGACTGTCACTTCCTGAATGGCTGGGGCATTGACATTACCAAAAACCCTGAAAGGTCATTTCCAGTTTGATGATGTTCAGATCTGTCTTATACAATTCAACCCCCCAGAGCCACCCACAGCACAGGACAGTCCCTCTTCCACCTGAGGAGGAGTTCAGGATCACGCAGAGTGACAAATGCTGCCTTCTTAAATATCTGCAGCTTGGGGCTTTCTTTGCAGGTCTGCTCTGCAAGTACTAACCTTGGCTTTTTGTTGGTGAGGTTTAACCTGATCAAAGCTCACCCCATCAGGACTGACACGTAGCCAGCCTGTGGAAGAGGCTACAGGAAGATGAGGCAGATAAGGTTACAGAGGATAGAGGATACAGGAAGATTCTGCACTTCCAGAACAGCATGGAAGTGGCACACATGCTTGAAGGAGAACATCATGAGCACAAGGTGGCCAGGGTGGCTGGAAGAGCAGCCTGTGGCCAAGCAACAGAAGGCTGGTAAAGCTCTTCATATCATTTGGAGCCTTCTCTCCACTGTGGCTCCAGTGAGACATAAAGCCATTTCAGCTGGACTTTGAAGCTATTTAGAGCAGGGAGGGAAAAGCCATGGAGGGCAGCAAGCTGAAAAAGTTGGTGAACATCCTGGGTCTTTTGAACTTTCTCCTCTCAGCGTGTACCTTGCTTCTCCTCTTTTCCTTGCTGAGACAGACCGTTGTTCCATTCCCTTCTATTCTCCATCCCTGAACAAGATGTTCATTCCTCTTTTGAAGAAGTTGTTTCTATGTGTTCTGCAAAGTGTTGAGGAGATTTGGTGGAACTGTCATGCTTAGCAGTAACATGGACAAATGACACCTACCCTATATGGTTTTCACTGTGAACACAACTCTGCAGTCGTGGCTGCCTATCCCTGTTGTGGACCTGTTCGTCTGTAGGACCTGAGCACTTCCGGGTTGCTTAAGAAATGTCTAATACCAGTGAGCACTTTACAGGAAAGTGCCAATTTTCACACTGTGTTTGAAGAGAACTGGTTTGTTGGATCTCTGGATTTGTCTCGTGGCTGGAAGAATAAGGCTCTAGCTGTACCTATGAGGAATAGGCACTGCCGTTGTCTCTGAGGTGAAATGGCATTTGTCAGTGAGGGGAACAGAAGCAGATGCTGCTGAGGCAAGAGATGAAGCCAAGTGTCTCCTCTCTGGAGCACACTGACTTCCTCAGCTTCAGGAGGACACTTGTGACCCTCACAACCCTTCCCCCGCCTGTCTGCTCTGGCTGCCTCTTTCTTCTTTTCCTCTCTCCTCAACCACACCCACGATTTAACCATTTAGATATAAAAATAAAAAATAAAAAACCACCCAACCCACTAGACAGAGGGTTTGCTAAAGAAGGGTAATTTTAAAAGTAAGTCTTTGAGGTCAGCGTGTAATTGTAACATTGGGACTATGTGATCCAAGACAAAAATAATCCAGTGGGTATATGGTCAAGGAGGAGAGGATGGCTGCCTGCAGCGAGGGCAGAATAGCATGCACGAGATTGATCAGACGGAGCAAAAGACTAGGCAAAACTACTCACTGGCACCAGGACTAATATTTGTGTAGGGTACTGTAAGATTTCTGCATGTGACAGGATCATAAGAGCTGCTGTACTGGGTCACAGCCTCCCTCGGTCGATAGGCCTGCCTCTGCCAGGAGCTGGCACTGGGCGCTTCTCAGGAGTTTTAACAGCCTTCCACAGAAATGCAGATACGGTGTCATGCGTATTTGTACATTAACCTGCTTGTGGGGAACCCTTCTGTTAACTAACAGCCAGCTGATAGCTGGACTGTTCTGCTGAGGCCTGGCTTTCTAACCGTGCTTCGCTCTCCTGCTTCAGAACTTTCTGAAATCCTGCCTTCTTCGAAGCGTTCGCAGGAGGTTGCCAGCCATGCTCTTCTCCTAGGTGGCATCATGGAGGATGCTTTCGCCCTTATAAATATCCGGTCCTTTTCTCTAACCTCATCACAATTCTTTCTCAGTTCTAATTTATGGCAGTAAGTTACGTGGGGCCGATAATATAATATATTGTAACAGTATTTCCTCTAATGCGTTTTAAATGAAGAAATGAGTCCCTGAATGTGTCAGCTGTCCTCTTGTCCTGAGAGTACAATAAAGGAGGAGGACCCTGTGATGGTGCTATTTTTTGCTATTTTCTCATCACACTGATGAGAAACAGTGGCAGCCACATCACTTGGAAATAGTGATGCTAATCATTAGACTGAGGGAAAGCACCAAATGTCCACAGAGGACCAAGATTTTCCTGGCTCCAGAGGTGGCATGGATAGGACCCAAGGCAGCCTTTCTTCTCTGATGTTCCTAAGACTGAGTTTCTCTCACATTTGCTCCCAGATGAAAGCACCACAAAAAATGAGACTTGTTTTACTGTGAAAGAAGTCAAGTAAAGAAGGGGAGGAATCATGTCTGTACATTGATGCCAAAGGTCAGGGGTTTAGAGCTGTA